GTGGTGCTGGACTGTGGGCTCCAGGCACTGAATAACTGCAAGGGACTCCATGCAGTTCAGGGTAAGCTCCAGACAGTAGACTCCCAGGACTCAAGGAGGCCTGGCTGTATGCACAGCCCACAGACACCTGCAACTCTTCTGCAGGGCAGCGGTCAGCAAACAAGGTGCAAGGAGATCTGACTGGCTATGCTGGAATGACCTAGATCCTTAGCCCGGCACTTGCTACACTGCAGCATCCAGAATGACCGAGATCCTTAGCACAGCGCTTGCCTCTGCCTGGAGACGCAGTGCTTTTCTTCTGCTCACTGAACAGGGAAGTGAGTTCTGGGAACGGCCTGAACAGAAACATTTAGGTTGGAGGGTCTTTGAGCAGGCTGACAGCTGACGGATGGCCATCCATAAAGCCATAAAGGAGAGCTGTGTGGCGGCCGGCGTCACATCGCTTCTCCCTGGGAAACTAATTGCTCTGAATTGTTCAGAGGAACATTATTTTTCTGGCAATCATTTCCTTTGAATGCCCAAAATGAGCATGAAACAACTCTTTTGACTGGACATAAAAGTTAAATGTCCCAATGTTGATCAAATTAACTTCAGCACTGTGACAATGGACTGTGTTTGTGAGAAAATAATGGGGGACAGAGGGGTGCTTTATGCCAAGATTTCACAGTTGTAATGTAAAAATGTCTCTGTTGAACTAGCCAGGACACATTTCAAATGGGACACAGAAGAGTTCTGTCACTGTGGAAAAAAAAAATCTCATTTCATGAGCTGAGTGCTGAAGGTTTCAAGGCATGTTCACAGTTAGTGCCTCAGGAAGACCAGTGTGGAGTCCTGGCTTAGTTGCCCCCAGATGCCCCCAAAGAGCTGAACTCACGTTGGAGCAGCGACTGAGTACCACAGCCAGGACCAGCATAGGCACAGCCCAGAGCTGCCAGAGGCGGGGTCTGACTATAAGGACCATCCCAGTACCCTCAGGCTCAGCACAGATGCCTCCAACTTTCCAGCCCTCTGAACCTGCCTGGATCTCCTCACTAATTAAGGGGTTCATCGTCTTTTTTTAACCTTTCATAACAAGAGATTCGAGACAAAATTCACAGATTTGCACAAATAGAAAGATTATTACTTGAGATAAGATATCCTGACTTGCTGGGGTGGTGGTACACAACTGTAATCTCAGCACTTGGGAAGCTGAGGCAAAAGAATCTCAAGTTGAGGCAACATGGTGAGACCCTGTCTCAAGAAAAGAAAGGAAAAGGAAAGAAATCGTGGCTACTCTTGATCAACGCTAAAATGGTGTCTCCTATGCCTCAAATATCAAAAAGATTATGGTGGCCAAGCTCAAGTTGGAATGAGGGGCAGATTCTCCCGTTGTGTGCCCAGCTGTGTCACACTGACGTGAGCCTCTGCCATGCGGTACCCTGTGTCCAATGGCCCTGGTGCAGGGGTTCGTGCCACTCACAACTGGGGCTGTTGGAGAGTTTAACTCAGAGTTTGTCTCTCAGTATGTTTTTTTTTTTTAAATTACCTTTTTATTTTGGAATAATTTTAGATTTAGGCAAAAGTTGCAGAGTGCAGAGTGGTTTTAAAATAGGGTCTTCTTCCACTTCTTAGAGAGAGGGATGTAAGTCTGCCCAACCCCAGCTTTGGCAGCTCAGAAAAGATGGGGACCTGCAGCTGCACAGTGACATTAAACCTAGAGAAGGCAGGCTGCCTCTCAGGAGCCTCCTCTCTATCTCCTGCAGCTCAGGGACCAGCAGACAATGCTTGCACGGTTCCCAGTGCTGCTGTGAATGCAGCGCTGTTGGTGGCAGTGTCCATTCAAACACCAGCGCACTATTGTCCTCCCAATCAGCACAGCAGAATGCAGTCTGCTGGTGGCTGCCAAAAGGTTAGCAGCCCCGATGAAAGGGCGGCCCATCATTCACCGCTCCTACAGAGTGCCCCTTTGTGTCTAGCAGCCCGACCCAGCACGGAGGAGGTCCGGATCTGCGGCTGGCTGAGCTCACCACAGAGGCCGTTCATGGGAACGCAAAGATGCAGAAAGTGGCCCGCAACCCCAAGGCTGCTTTCTGGATGCTGTGGAGGCGAGGCAGTGTAGGGTAATGACATGTTTTAGTGCCTTACCATACCGATACCTGACCATGGCCACCAACACCAAATGCACAGCAAATCCCTCTCAGCTCCTGAGCCCCACTGGCAGGGTCTCTAAAAACCTGGGAGCCATGAAACAAAGAACCAATTGGGCAGGAAGAACCACACATGACTACAACGTGAACCAGGACCTTGCCTGCTGGAATGCTATATCACTGTCTCATGAGGGGCCCAGTGGAGGAGCTAATGGGGTCCAGCCGGCCCACCTCCACCGAGAGTGCTCTAGTGGGAAGGACTCAGGGACACCCGCCCTCACTACACTGAGAAAGGCCACTTTATGTGAGGTACCATCTTGGAGGGTGTGGCTTACCTGGGGCAATAAAAGCCAGTTTTTCCACTCCAGGAGGGAGTGAGCAGCGCTGCAGTTGAGCCTCCACACAGACATGGCTGTGCAGGGCCCATGGTAGAAGATGCTCCAGAACAGGTATGAGTGAGGTGCAGGAGCCAGGAAGGATGAGTGGGGAATGGAAAGACAGGATGCCCCAGGCACTGGGCCATGTTTGGACATGGCACCAGCAGTTGCCGGTCACAAAGCACCTGAGCCCATAGCCACTGCCTGGGCTCAGTTCCACAGCAGGAGGCAAAAACTTAGATGTGGGCTCCAGACCACCTCTGTGCTTGAACGTCAGCCCCAGCAGCAGGCTGAGGTCTGGATCCTCAGTGTGGGGCAGCAACATGTGTCACATCTGTGGACCCTCTGCAAGGTCCTGGCAGATGCCAGCACACTAGGGCCTTCCCTCATGCTGGAGATGAGGCTTGAAGCCATTGGCAGGGAAAAGAGACCAGATCCCAGGCCCTGGGCTGACTTCCTCTCCCAAGTGGGATTGTCAGCCACATGCCTGGCTAATGGCAGCAACTGGGATGGGAACACACCTCCTGACTTCCTGTGTAGAGCACCACCCTGGGGAATATGAAGCCAGTGGCTGTGAGCCCATATAAGCAGGCCACACTCACAGCCCATGCAGATGCAGGGAGAAGCACTGGAGAGAGGAGGCACCTAGGCAGCGCCAGCCTCATCCTGGAGGGACACCATGGTCAGGAGGACCCAGCCTCATCTCTTGCTCAGGACACAACCACTGAACTACAGCACACATGCATGTCCCCATACAAGCCCAACACACACACGAACACACATAGACATATGCATGCATGCTCACACACAACACACATGCATGCATACTATTCTCACAGAGGCCACAGTAAAGAGACAGGATCATGTCCAAACACTTGTTCAAGGATCTCCCTAGTAGCTCTTCTCTCTGTGACCCCAACTGACTCTGGACACCCCTCAAGGTACCTCCCCAGGTCACCAGCCTTGTTGGGCAGAAAGTGCCCAGTTCCTACAGTCTCCTCTCATGGGGCTCTCCCAGCCTGCCCTCAATGATCTGATGGTGGTGCATCCAACACACATGTGTGATTCAAGGTAGGGGTCCTTAAAAAGCCCCCTTTGGGTGGACTGTTCTTGTTTCACCTGGTAACCTCTCCCAAAAAGCCTCCCAGAGACTCAGAGAACATCATACATCTTGTCACGGCTTTTTCTCTTCTCTGGGTCCAGCCTCTGGCACATCATGACCAGTGCCTTTGCTCTCAGGACTGTGAGCAACAATGTGGCCACTCAGGGTAGTGGCCTGGGAATGGCATGGTTTGCTGCTTGGCATAATGCCTGTGCTTACAGATCTCATACTCTTCTAGGAGGACAGACAGAAAGTGCTACGTGATAGCAGTTAGTGGCTCAGGGAGAGAAAGAAAGGTGCATTTGGGCAGGAGGATAGAGAACCCTAGAACAGGGTCTAAGGGGAAGGCCAGAGAGGGCTCACTGAGGAAACAAGCCTGAAGCAGAGCAGTGCGAGGCTCCATGTGTTTCCTCTGGAGCTCAGCGTGATGCCTTTTCTTTGGTGCAAGATCAGGACAGGAACCCTAGGAAACAGTAGGCTCAGAAGGGATCAGAGACTACCCATCTTGGGTCTGTGGGAAGCAGCCATTGCAAGCCTGAGTTGGTCCTTCTGCTATCTCAGGGGGATGCTGAGGACCACACAGAATGAGCAGACTAACCCCTGACTTGGCTCCTGGGTTGAGCTTCAGCAAACGGTCCACCTGAAAATCAGGAAGGCACTGATGCCAAGGCCAGGCTCATCTACTAGTCAGGGCTCCTGTCTTTTCCACATGACAGCTTGTCAGCTCTGACCTGTCAAAGGTCACAGAGGCCATCACAGACAGAGGGGTCTGGAGCCTAGGGGGTTGGGGCAAGGTTGGTTGGAAGTCCAGCAAAAGGTGTTCTAATAGTCACCAAGGCCACCCATCTCCTCCTCAGGGCCCAAAGCCCATCCCCAGGATGATGCATGAGCTGGTCAGCTGGACAGCATGGGGCAGAGGCAGAAGCAAGGAAGCACCATGCAGGGCTGGGCAGCAGGGCCTTCCTGAGTTGAGCTGACTGAACACAACCAGCACTGCTCTAATGTGTCTGAACCCGAGCCCAGTAGCCCCAATCACCAAACAGGGCCTGAGCTCTGGAAAAGGCACTGCCATGGTCAGCAGAGCCCCTGGACATCCAGTTTTGAGCCTACAGTCAAAAGCACCAATCATGGTTCTGAGATGCTTCACTGATGATATTTAGGTTCCACATGTCTTCAAGGCACCATTTCTTAATTTCCCCACAAAACACAAAGGGAACTGATGTGTATCTAGCCATGGTGAGGCACTGCTCTAGTCAGGGATGGGCCTGGGGTGTTGCAGCCTGGATGGGTTGGCACTCCCAGGGACCACTGGCAAGTATGTAAAATCGAAGCAGGAAAGCAGCCTTGGAGCAGTGCAACTGTGTTCAGAAATGGCCAGCATGCAGCAGCACCTACCTGTCGAGCACGTAGCCCAGGGCCTTGTGCCGGACGCCCGAGTACACAGAAGGGCTTGTCTCCCAAGCCACTAAGTTGGATGCATCATGGAAAAGATGGATGTTCACCAAGTCGAAGGCACTGCAACCAAGACAGCAAAGGACCAGATGACTAGGGTTCTGAGTCCCTGAGCTGCCTGAGAAGTGCCACCCCTCCCTGTGCCCCAGGACAGTGCATACCAGCTCCAGTCTCCTTGCCAATGGAGCTGTCTGTTCACCCCATCCTTGGCCCCTCCAGGCTGACCCATGACATTGCCTCCTTATGGCCAGACAACATGAGACCTTCAGCTAAGTCTTTAATAAGGTCTCACTGATGCAGGTGTTCTGGCCAGGTAAAACATGAGCTGTTCTTCTTTAAAGAAAAGGACTTTCAGTTACAGAGTTTTCTGCAGGATGCAGGCGAAACTGAGGAAAAGACACCTCTCCTGGCCTCAGCTCCCACAGCCCATGCTCCTGGGGTCCACCCAATGTACCACTGTTGGGGACCCCACAACACTGGGGGTACAGAGACAGGCAGATGGACCATCCTTTCACTCTGCAGAAGACATTCTGAGCACACAACCCGAGGAAGATCTTTGGCAAACCCACAGGCCACTCACATACGTGGTGAAGCTGAAATTTAGTTTGTCAGTCTTTCCCACACCCTGGAGAGTCTGCTGGCATCTCCAATTGGCATGGGTACACCCACCTTACCAGAAGAGATCCTAGCACTATCCCCAAAAGGGACCTCTTCAGGACACTGGCATTTGACTACATCTCCTTTCTTCACAGAGCCTTGTAGCCTGCGGTCACTAGCACCCTAGGAGTCCGATGACCCAGCTCTGGGCATCCATGCCCTAGATGTCCTCCACATGGTACCAGATTGCTCCCTGAGTCCAGGAGCGGCACAGGTGGCCAACTACCTTCTGAATTAGGTCTCTAGGGACTACAGCTTCATCCTGAGGCCACTTTCTCTCTCCCTGCCCCATTGTCTGGACCCTGTCCTGAATAGCACCCAGGGCCTGAGCCAGAACCCCAGCTGAGCCACAGACCATGTCTCTGCAGCTAAGGGCTGAGAGTGAGTGCTCTGTTCTGTTGCAATTAAGTCTCAGGCAGTGAGGCTGTAAAACTTCCTGGAAGGAAAACTGAAACAAATCTAAATTTCTACCAGGGCATGTGGGAAGGTACATATAGGCAGGAAGCTGGGAACAGGTGCCCATCATTCTCTTCAGCTAGAAGAGGTAGGGTATGGCTATGAGGAATGCATGCCCACAGGAAGGCCAGCCCAGGACAACTGAGAAGACACAGAACCTGCTTTATCTGTGTTCAGACTCCCAATTAATGTAGCCTGCCAGGCATCTTCACATGATTTAACTCTGACCTGGACACATGCTCCTGCAGTGGGCTCTAGCACATGATGCTCAGGCAGGGATTCCATTTGTACTGAGCATCCTCCCATTTACAGGGAATACAGCATCACCCACAAACTAAAAAGGCAAGTGACTGGGCAAGGGTCATGTGGTGTGGTTCCTGTTAAAAATGAGCAGAGCTTCTGATAGCCCATTTGCAACACAACAATCATGCAAAACACAACAGATAGCTAAAAGTACTCTGAAAACCACGTGGAGACAAACAGTTCAACACCATGTAACATACCAGTCAGCAATGCACCACCTTGTCCGGATGAAGCCTTTTCTTGACCACTTGCACTGGAAAACAAAGGTTGCACAATGAGCAGCGCGAAGAGGAATGGGAGTACCATACAGTGCATCTGCACTGGAGGCACAGTGAGAGCTTTCCAAGCAGGACATAGTGGTAATTGTCCAGTGTCCAAGGCACCCTGCTTAAAGCACTGAGATAGGCACTTATTATGGGTGAAGAGAGACCAGAGCAGCCATCCTGATGGCCATGAGTTGGCTTGACCAAGAGAGAAACTGAGAAGTCAGATGTGGGAGGGCAGTGCATGTGGCTTGCCACCAAAGCCCTGTCCTAGCCAGCCCACTCCCAGCAGTGCCATAGCACACAGAGCCTGTGCACAGCTGGGGGATAGTGACATCTGCCTGCATATGGGGCAGATCCAAGGTAGAACGTGTGCTATGATCTGAGTGTCTCCCAAATCCAAGATGGTACTGAGAGATAAAGTCTCTGAGAGGCTCCACCCTCATGAGTGGCTATTACCCTTATAAAAGTCTTGACGAGGGGAGTCTGGTCCTTTTTCACCTTTCTGTCCCTTCTGCCATGTGGGGACAGTGTTTGTCCCCATGGAGAACATAGCAACAGGCACTGTCTTAGTAGACTAGACAGCCCTTACAAGACACTGAACCTGCAAACACATGGATCTTGACTTCCCAGACTCCAGAACTGTGAAAAATAGTGCATTGGTTTATTATACACTGCCCAGCCTAAGGTTTCCTCTGAGACACTTGCTAACAGTGAAAGGGTCAGATTGTTTACTTCTGCCACATGCTTTCTGCCTTCCTAAAGCACTCTTTATTCCAGTCTGGGAGGATGATCACTGATGTCCATCATTATCCTCTGCTGGTCCTAAAATGGAAATGGAGAGAACAGAGGGTGGGAAGGGGCAGAGGCCTGGACACAACTCAGCCACAGCTTCGGATGGTGACACATGTGGACAAGCCACCTGTGCTTCCTTTTTCAGCATCACTGACCAATGGGTGCTCACGTAAACATGGGAGACAGCCTAAGATGTAGCCAGCTGTGGAGCAGGATCTGTGGGACAATGGAAGGTCTGGGCCTGCCTGCCCACATCAAAGTGTATGAATGAAGACCCGAACTTTCGATTCCACGTTGTCTTATGTAATTTTAATTTAAGTAGCCACAAAGCAGGGCCACCTCACGTCAGCACTGGGAATGGAGATCCTGCTCTCCCTGTACCCTCTGCACCCCCAGCTCACAAGCACAATGTGAAAAGACTCTTGTGGAAGAGCATTCTCTCTCCCCTAGAATGCTGGCCAAAGCGTGGGTATCAGCTACTTTGGCCCCAGCCACAGTGCCTGCTACAGTGGACTTGTGGACAGAGGATGGAGGAGAGATGAGCCTTAAGGTGCCTGGGCCTATCTTGAATGGCAGAGGACAAAGTGAAGGTTGTGTTTCTCCTTGGTGAGGAGATCATACTAGAGCAGTTTTTGGTTTACAGAAAAACTGACCAGAAACTACAGAGTTTCCCATATGCTCCTTCCTACCTCCCCAGCTGGACACACGTGAGCCGACCTTTTCCCTCCTGCCCTGCCTGTCCAGGTGGGCTGAGTATAACACCACAAGCTGGCCCTGCTCTGAGCCTGCACATCTGGCCATGCAAAAGCCCTTGGATGCTACTCAAGTTGTCACTAGACAAGTGGTGGGACCACTTCCCAATGTGACTACTGCTGACTCCCAAGAAGCCAAGTGGAGCATGAGAGTCAGCTGTCCTGAGTCAGGCACTTGCTCATTACGACACGTGGACTCCACACCAGCAGTCCAAGTGCCACAGGAACATCCCTATTCCCTTCCTGTGGAGGCCACTCCACAGCCAGGTACCATCCTCAAGAAGGAAAAGTCAGCCGCTGGAATACTTATTGATGCCTGGAATCACCCACAGTAGAACTTCTCCGCTTCGCACTTCCTGTATTCCAAAACACCTGCCTGGAAGGCCTTTCTCCCTCTTCCACGTGTCCCAGTCCAACCCATGCTTTCCTGGTAAGCCTGTTGCCATCAGCAGCCATAGTAGCAGCAATGTGATGGATTCCACCCTCAGCAGCTAAGCTCCTTGGGACAGGGCCCATCTCCACTGCTGCAGTAAAGACAGGGTCCTTGAGCATGATGAGGGAGGCCAGAGTCCACACTGCAGGGATACTGTAAGGATGCTGCAAGATGGGGCATGAGCCCATACCCACTCCTCAAGGGCTCAGCTGGGTTCTTTCCCTTCCTCTCTTTTCCCTACCTCCTCTCCTCCTGCACCACCTGTGTGTGACTGGCTGGACTCTAACTCTGAATCAGGGCCTGAAGGCAGAGTCCCTTAGGCTCCATCATATGGGCCCACTCTAGGCCCTCTTGTTTGCTCTGAGAGCTGACCTTAGACCCTGTCACTGACAAGGCCCCTTCCTCCTGGACAAGCCATTACAGTAGGGCTGTATGCTCCCATGGCCCCTCCTCCCTTGCTCTTTCCCCAGCACACCAGGCTCTGCCAAGGTAGACTACCACTTCTAATGTAGAATCTATATGCAATATTCCATTGGCCTGACAACAGCTGACCATCCCCTCTACCTCCCCAAAGTTCAAACATCATCCTGCATGGACTCGCACCCTGCTGCATCCCAGCACCTCTGCAATTTACTTCCTGAGCACAGCATGCCACTGATCCTGCAAGGATGCAGCCACACGGGACTGGGACCTGTGCCTGTTCTGCTGCATTCAGAGCGACAGTTAACACAATCCGAGGCATGTGCAGGCCAGTCCACAGCACCACAGAAGCATGCCCCACTGTGTGGGAAGAATGGTGGTCTTTATGGCCACCACCCACCCACCTCGTAAGGGTAAACCCATGACACTCTGATGTTCTCACAGCCTGTTGCCCGAGGCTCACCCACCTGCCCAGGGATCTGGGCAAGGATGCAGCCCTGCTCCTTCCAGGAAGGAATGCCAGCCCTTCCTGAGCCCATGTGAAAGACGGTCTCACCTGCAGTGTCCCATATGCCCAGGGAAGGTGGACCAGACAGCAATACTCTCATTTCACCATGGAGGAAACTGTGGCCCAAAGACCTGCCCCAAACCACCAGCTCCCTGGAGAAAGCAGCATATTCCTGGGCTGAAGTTCTCTCTTCCTGACCACTCACTTCCCACTCAATGCACAACACTGCAGTCAGTGGGCTACTCAAGAGCCTTTCTGATGGAGATCGCTCCTCAGTGTGGCCTCCCTGGAAACCCTTACTCACAATACACACACACATGCGTGACCTCCCTGGACATCCCCACTTTTCCAAACACAGACACGCAAATGTACATATGCATCCATGTACACACAACAAAATGTGCACAGCTGTATTTGGCACGCAGCAGGGAATGCCTGCGCAGCCCAGGTTGTAGCAGGGTATATTAGGACATTGCAAAGTGCAGAGGCTCCCAGCTGCAGATACAGCTGCCTGGGCGTTCCAAGTGGAAGCAGAGGTGGGTGAGTGGGGAAGGACTTCTCGAGGTCTGACAGATCTCTTCCATCAGGCCACATTCTAGAACTTTCTGGTCATCAACCACCTTCTGAACCCCTAACATCCTCCTGGGTTGGTGCACCCAGGCTCTCATGTGGCTTCTCTACTCTTGGAGGGACATCACCACAGAAACAGAAACCAAGCAGGCCTGGGAGGGTGGCACAGCTCTTTTGCCTCATGTGGTCTTTGCTCCGTTCCCTATTAATAGGGTTCCTTGAGTCGGCAGATGGATTGCGAATACAGGCTGCTTCATCTACTAAAAAGACAGCATAAATCGCAGTGGAGAAAAGAGAGGCTGTGGGGAGGTTATCGCCAGGCAGCCCTGCTGTGAAAGGCCTGCTCAGAGCATTAGTGGAATTAATTCATCTTTCATGGGCACTTGCAGCACGGCCTGTGATCTATGGTAACAACCAATTTCTCACTACGGGCAAGAGGAAAAAAATGACTCGCCCCGATCGACTACACAAATCCGCTTTTTAAAAATGGCCTCACATTATGTGGAGTGCTGCTCCCAGAGGCGTCATTTGAAATTCATACTGAGCCAAAAGCACCCATAAATCAGCAGAGAAAGTTTTGTGAGTTTTAGATGCAGAGGCTGTAATTATTTGCAATTGCATTATGCCTCCATCACGGTAATTACATTTAGATTATCCTTAAGTGATGGTAATAAAAGAAAGAGAGATCAGTCTTCAACTAATTCCCTCCCCCAAAATGTGCTCAATGCAGTGAAGGCCTACGGAAAGGCTCAGGAGAGGCAAGGCTGGCAGGCCATCTAGGCTCCAGCTCACATCTGACCTGCAATTCCTGCACAGGGCCATCCAAATGCCACGTTCTTTGTGAGGCTCTGCACACAAGAAGTGGCACACTGCTGACAGAATGTCAGAGTTTGTGGTTTTAAAATGAGGTTTTTTTTCTCTTCTACTAATTACCAGAATGAAAGGAAACATGTGACATCCCGCCCCCTGTATTGCACGAGCAGTGAGGGCAAAGCTATCAGATCCCAAAATGGCCTTCTAGACAACACCCCAGGAAAGCTAGTGTCCTGGCAGGTCCAGGCACAGCTGCCACAGAGGCTGGTGATCAGCTGACTGCCAGACTGTGGACAGTAACTCGCTGCTCTCCAAGTCAAGACTGGAGTCCACCCCAAGATACCCCAAGGCCTTCCCTTCCTTTGAGTACATTTTCTCCTCTGCTTGCAGACATGATAACATGGTACCTGAAGCCAGGTTCACTGAGTACAACCCTTATGTTCTGCCCCAAACCATTTACCAGCACCACAAGGGGCAGAGCACTGGCCACAGTGGCAAGGCATAGCCAAGGTCCCCAGTCTTCACTGACCTTGGCTCCCCATGCTGCCTGGGCCAGCAGGGAAAAGAGAGTCTCTCACTTAGAGATGCCCTGAGGCTATGGGTGAGAGCAAGGGGGCCCTTGGAGGGAACCAGGGTGTGAGGATTGTGTGGGTATGTCAGGAACCTGTAAGGTATCTCTGGAGGAACTGTAAGGTATTGAGGGAAGCCTCACACCTGTGGGCTATTTCACATGGTGCTCACCTCCCTGACCTCTCCCTTCCTCTGCTCACTCAGAACACAGGAAGCTTTGTTAAGACACTGGAAGACAGGCACAGAAGTCAGGGACAGGATCATGTGGCCAGGATCCCACAGCCTGCAGTGCGAGGACAAAGATCCAACAAGAGGATCTGTCATTCCAGGCACCAGTGGCTCATACCTGTAATCCTAGCTACTCAGGAGGTGAAGACCAGGAAGATTGTGGTTCGAAGCCAGCCCAGGCAAATAGTTCGTGAGAACCTATCTTGAAAAAATCTGTCACAGAAAAGGGCTAGTGGAGTGGCTCAAGGTGAAGGCCCTGAGTTCAAATCCCAGTCCACAAAAAGGAAAAGAGAAAAAAAAAGGACCTGTCATCCTCACTCCTGGCACTGTAATGTGAGGTGTGAGGACATGTGGCACCAGGAAAGCTACTCACCGAGTCTTTAGACAGAGCAACTTTATGTGTCCACCAAGAGGCCATGTATGGAGAGGCATGGGAACTATGTAAGGCAAAAGTTCTCATGGGAACTTTACTTTTTTATTTTGTTATGTTTTTGGTGGTACTGGGGTTTGAACTCAGGGCCATGCACTTGCTAGGCAGGTGCTCTACCACTTCAGCAACGCTCTCAGCTCTTTTTTGCTTTAGTTATTTTTAAGATACTATCTCAGGCTGGTAGAGTAGCTCAAGTGGGAAAAGCACCTGCCCAGCAAGCATAAGGCCCTGAGTTCAAATCCCAGTGCCGCCATAAGATCTTACATTTTTTTGCCCAGGCTGGCCTTGGACAGCAATCTTCCTTGTAGATGCGATAACAGGTAGGCACCATCACACAACACTTGTTTGGTGAGATGGGTTCTCGCTAACTTTTTGCCTGGGCTGGTCTTGAATCTGGATCTTCCAGATCTCTACCTCCCTCCTAGTCTCCACTGGGATTATAGCTATGAGCCACCATGCCTGGTTCTACTCATGGGAAAGTTAAACACAGTAAGTGGTTAAGGGCTCAACTGCACATTGCACAGACACATGCAGGGCTCTTAGGAAGAAGGCAGATGCTGTCTTCAGGAGAAGACCCTACTGAGAAGCAGGGCAGGGAGGGGCAGTAGGGCCAAGAGCTTGACCTGCAGCAAGGTATGGTCATGTGCACAGTCATAGCCGCTCTCAGTCTGGGCCAGGCAAATGGCATGTGCCCTGATTTGGTACACTCTTCTCAACACTGGAGACAGTTCAAGGGAGTATTTAAAAGAGAACATTGCTAGGAAGGATATTTGAATTGCCTCAAACACTGCTCGCCCCCGAAATCATCACACATATTACCACTTGCACCCTGCATCCAGCACTGCCCACCTGCAGTCCACCCCACCTGTTCTGCAAGTGGTATCTCAAAACCACAGAGCAGGGCACTTGCTGTCCTGCCTCAGCCAGCCCTGGTTTCCCAGCCCTACCTTAAGCTTCCTCTAGCATCCACCATTTCCACTGGGGCCCAAGTCTACTGTGGTCATTTTGAGATAAGAGCTGGAGTCAGTGTCAGCCCCAAAGAGGCCTCCCTGTGAGCAAGGATTGGTCTGTGATGGACAGAGGACCAAGCTCAGCCATAACCATGTGCTGAAGCTGGCTTGTTGGCCCACAGATTCTCCAAGGTAACCACAGCTCCCACAGGGTTCGTCTGCAGAGTCCTACACATTCAGTAAAGTTTCATGACTCACAGATGCTGCTACATGAAAGTCCCAGAGCTTTCCCATTGTCTTCTTTCCACCTCAGGGTGTTTGGAGCAGAAGGGAGTGAGGGAGCTGAGCTGGTAGTAAGCCTAAGTCAGCTGAGGACAGAGGCTGGCCTGCTGACACCACATCCTTGGCCTGGGAATGATGGATTAGGAAGCCAAGCCACAGGGTGACAAGAGTGCCATCCTTCATGGAGGCAGCCACAATCTATCCACTCAAGGAGTAGGTCATGAAGAAAGTTAATAAAGTGTGGCCTTGCTGAAAATCAGCTCTGAGCAAGTATGACCACTGCACTATGCAGACACCTAGTGGAGAGGGAACTACAGAGCCATACTTTTTGGAGTAGGCCAGCCAATGAGCCCAGACACAGCCTCAACATCATGGCGAGGGCAGGACATACATGAACAGCCAACAGATGTCAGGAGACAGCACTCAGTTCTTCCACTTCAGGACTTGAAACACGGCTGGTCAGGGCATCCAAACCTACTGTGACTTCACAGATGATGCAGGGCAAGGTATGAACACATGACACAGGCTTACGAGGTTCCCAAAATGCTGTTAGTAGGCTTATTAAAAAGTAATAGCACCCAGGATCATGTGCAATGTCTGACAGCTGCTTCAAAACAGCAGCACTTAACACCCAACAGACACCCTGAACACTCTGCGCCACGTGGGCACAACCACTGGGATGTGTCATTGAGCCACTAGCCCAGCAACCCTCCAGCTCTATGCTGACTGCTCTGCCTTCCCTGGTTGAACCAACCTGGAAGCCCCCTCTGTGGAAGCACCTGCCGCACCACACCACCCCAGGGAAGGTGAGAGACGCAGCATGTGCAGTTCCCGCACCGTATGGCTTAGCATGTGGTGACAGTGACTCTGACGTGCTGGGGACCCTACACTCACCACAAGGGCTGGAGGACACTCTCCTCACCTGTTGGGGAAGGTTCCCTTGCCTGACAGTGCTGATTTGAGAATTTTCCAGCTGTCACATGCTGATCTCTTTCAATGCTCTCTGCCTAGGGCAGCCCAGATCAACCCGCACGAGGCTTGAAACCCCTGAAACACAGAGCACGAGAGCACAGCAACCCCAGACTGTGACTGCCAACGGCAGAGCACATCTGCACCTCACTTCTGACTTGCTCACTCCAGTGCGAGAGACAACAGATCCTGCGCACCTCGGGGAAGTAGTCCTGCGGGAACTTCTCCTTTTCCAGCATCGGTGTGCTCTCCAAAGTGTCCGAGTAGATCTCCTTGCCAGTGACTTTTTTATACTTCTTAGCTGGGAAAGACAGGAAGGATGATGTGAGTAACTTCATCACTACGCCTCATTCAGGAGCCATGGGTGGGGGAGGGCAGGAAGTGGGGAGCATGCCTTACCACAGCAACCCTAGGAAGTGAGGGACACCTCAAGCTGGGGAGCAGGCAAGGGGCCAATCCTAAACAGCTGCTGCTCCAGGGAGGCTTGTGGCTCATAAATTCTGGTTCCACGACCTGGAATCTGACACTCCACTTCATTATCACCTAAGAGCTCCCAGCCTGCAGATTTACAGGGGCTAATTGGCACCCTCTTTGAAAGCCGTGAATATATTTAAGCGGGCCATGGAATTACCACTCACTCAGACCTCACATGAATTTATTTAATAATATTGATTTTCTCTTCACACATGGACAACAATCACTCATATTCCAGGAGTTTTCATGTAAGATGGAAAGAGGGACTAAGGGAAGGTGCTTTCCAGCTGTTGCTCAGACCTCCCTGCAGCCCCCAAGCATGTAGGTCCCCTACGCCTCCCTGAGCTGGCAGTGCCATCTTATATGCAGGTCTTGGGTCCATCCCTTCTATGGACAGGCATTCCCATGCCTCAGTGGTGTGTGACAGTGAGCATGTGAGTCCGTTCCTCAAAGCCATGCTGGGCTTGGGGACAGGTGGCTGCTACTCTCTGCTGATTCTGTGAGGAGTACGGTCAGCGCATGGCCTGAGACTGCTGCAGTAGCAATGCCCAGCCCAGACAGCTTTGGACCTGTTCCCTCAGTTGTCAGTCCCGGCACCCCAAGGCCCCCAGGGCCAAGAGGAATTGCTCTTGGGGTGAAGTTCCTGGGTATGTCAGCCAGATTCTCAGAGACAGCATAGCAGTGAGCTGTGCTGAGCTGTGCTCAGGATACAGTGAGGGGCTGACTTGTCCCAACAGAAACCACATGGGCTGCCTGGGACCCCAATCTGTTCAACCCCTGCCCACAGCCTTCCTGGGCTCCCTCCTGGACATCCAAGCCCCACAGAGGCTCAGTTCAAACACTCCCTGTGGCCATAGGCCAGATGTGAGGATACAGAGAAGAGACTTGAACACAGCATTCCTTTAGTGGCCAGGTCTGGAGAAAGCTTGCCAGAACATGTGATGAGGAGCAGGAAGGAGATGTGTCCTGCAAAGGAGCACCTCAGCCTGGAGGGGAGTGAGCCCTGATAGCAGAATGGGGAGGGGCTCCAGAGCCCTAGGGGCCACCAGACAGGCCTGTCTAGTGGAAAGGGCATGAATGCTCGTCTGGCACACAGAGGCAGCTGTGCAGGCCTCCAAACCTGGGTGCCACTACCACTCCCAGGCCTGGCCCATGCCCTCCTCCACCATCTACTAGACACCTGCAGCCAACATTCTGCACTTCCCTCAAGTCACTGCATATAACCCCATGGGGGGCACTGCACTCTTGTGATCACGAAGCTAGGCAGCGACTGGCTCAGATAGGGAAAAGTCTGGGCAAGGGCTGAGAGCACCACTGACCCATGTGCTGAGCAGAATCATGCAGCACTCTCAGATACCCAGTCATCTGTTTACAGCTATGCAAACACCCATCTCCCAGTGTTCAGGCAGCTACAGAGGCACTTTCACTACTGTGGAAGGAAGATGCCCACTCTGCAGAGTTGCTCAGTGCTGGCTCCTCTGCAGGGTTAGAAGGACCACAACAGCCCTCCCAGAGGCTGGGGCCCTCAGCTAAAGGCAGACACCAAAAGGGATACCATATGGTTGCAGAGAGAGCCCAGTGTGTGGCTGGGAGAAAGCGGCGTGGGCTTCAGGTGCTGCGTGGCATGTGACTGAAAGGTAGAGCGGTGGCGGTGGCTTCAGGAAGACACTGCTTATAAGGAAACCAAGGGTCTGTCCTGCTTCCCTCTGAGGACAGAGAAGGGACCGCTTGTGGAGCAGTTTCAGGGTCACAGTAAATGGGGCAGTCAGTGAAGAGTGCCCACAGCCTCTCTGCCACACACACAACTTCCCTTTGCTGCACCTGTATGCAGGTGCTTACAACTGAGGAACCACTGCTAACACACTGTTGCTAACTGAAGTCCACTGTTTACTTCAGGCTTTGCACTCCCTTCTGCATTCTGTGGGTTCTGACAAATGCATGAAAATATCACCATTCACTGTTACAGAATCATGCAGAGCAGTTTCTAAATGTCCCCTGTGTCCCAGACTCACCTGGCCACCCTAGCCCAGCCTCCAACCTCTCTCTCTCTCCACAGCCCTTCTTTCATTCTCTCCCAGTCTTTTCGTGGCTGGTGCCCATCCCTTTTGGTCACTAAACAGCATTTCACTATGACGATCTACTCATGGCTCCTTTACAATGCTATGGAGGACATCTGGAGGCCAATGGTGCCTACCCTCTGATTGTGCCCTGCTTCAATGCTGCATTGGTGAATCTAGGTCATTCCTTTTCCATGTTACCTTTACACCTGTTTGTCCACATACACAAAGTAACTTGAGATGTTTTGGCTGGGATTGTACTTCAGCTATGGGTTGAATGGGGAAGAAGTGAAATCTTGACAATACTGTCTTGCTATCTTAGTTCCCTTTGGGCTGCTGTAACAAAATACCACAGGTGAGGTGCTTTATCAACAATGGAAATTCACTGCTCACAGTTCTGGAGGGGAAACTGTAAGATCAAGGCGCTGGCAGATTCAATGTCTGGTGGGAGCCAGTCCAAGAGGATGGCACCTTCTACATGTCCTCTGCTGGAAGGCAAGCAGCACCCCCATCCCTGGCCCCTTTTATAAGGGCACTAATCCCATTCACAAGGATGCTAATCACCTCCCAAGACACCATCTCTCAACACTATCACTTTGGGGACTGGGATGTTAAATGCATTTGAGGGGACACAAATGTTTAGGCACACTATAGCTCAGGAACGTACAGTACTATGGAACAGTGAACTGAGTGTCTCCATTTATCTGGGCCTTCTTGGATCTCTTCATCAGTTTTGTAGTTCTAGGGATGTTTTTTTCAACTCATATTTTGTCAGATTTGCTCCTAAGCCTTTCCTTTCTGTGTTTGCTAATCCTATAAGCAGTTTCTGAATCCATTGTTACCTACGGGTGTGAAGGAAACCCATTAACATTAACATTCACTGTGTCCTGCAACCCTGCTACAATTGCTTATGAGTACCAGGTTTAGTTTTTTGTTGTTTGTGATGATGATTTTTTGGGATTTTTTTTTACATAGATAACTATGTCTGCTGAGATTAAAAACAGTTCTATCCCCATAGCACTCCAAGAAGATGCCCTTTATTTCCTTTGCTTGTCTTATTGCACTAGCTAAGACTTCCAGTAAGATGTTGAAGAGAAGTGGGTGGTAGGTACATCCTTGACTGGTTCCTGATTTCACCCTCAAATTTCTCATTTTTCTAGTTTCTCCTTAATTTTGACATTAACTGTAGGTTTCTATAGCTGATTTTCTTATCAAGTTAAGGAAGTTCCCAAGTGGTTCCTGAATTTTGTCAAGTGCCTTTTCTGTGTCTACCATTGGGGCGTATGGCTTTCTTCAGCATGCTGTGATGGCTGACATTAGTTGATTCTGGAATGATGACCCAGCCTTGCATATCTGGATAAATTCCAATTGGTCTCAGTGTATAACTCTTCTTATGCATTGTTAGATTCAATTTGCTAACATTGTATTGAGAACGTCTGTATTTTTGCTCATGACAGATACTAGCTGTAGTTTTCCTTCTCTGAAATGCCTCTAATTTGGCATCAGGGCAATGCTGGCCTCAGGGGATGAGTTAGCAAGTGTCCCTCTGCTCATATCTTCTGGGAGAGTTTGTAGAAAACTAGCAAAACTTCTTCCTTAAGTGCTTGGTAGAAATCACCAGTGAACTCACTTGGGGCTGGCACTTTGTTTTTCAGAAAGTTATTGCCTACTGAGTCCATTTCATTAACAGCTTAGGGGCCTGTCCAGATGATGCCTCATCCTGCATGAGCTTTCATGGACTGTTTCAAGGATCTAGTCTATGACACACAGACATCATAATATTCCTTTATGACCCTTCTAACGTCCATGGGATCAGTAGTGATGGTCCCCTTATTTCTGATTTTAATAATTTGTGCCTTCTCTTCTTCTTTAGTATGGCTAATGGTTTATCAATTTTATCAATCTTTTCCAAGAACCAATTTGGGTTTTGCTAACTTTCTTTACTGATTTTGTTTTCTTTTTTTTTTTCATTTCTGTTCCAATTTTTATCGTTTCTTTGGTTTACTTTGAATTTAATTTTCTTTTCCCCTATTTTTCTAAGGTAGAAACTTAGCCTACTGATTTTTAAAAATCTTTCTTCTAACAAATGTATTTAGGGCTACAAATTTCCCTCTAAACATTGCTTTTTCTAATAGCTCACAAAATTTTATTAAGTTGTACTTTCATTTACTGCAAAATATTTAAATTTCTCTTAAGACTCTTTCTTTGATCCATGTTTATTTACAAGTGAGTTGTTTAATCTCCAAGTATCTGAGGATTTTCCTGTTACCGAATTGTAGTTTATTCCACTGTGGTCTGTGAGTACTCTTTGTACGATTTCCTCCTTTTAAATTTATTAAAGTGTTATTCAGAATGTGATCTATCTTAGAGAATGGTCCATGTTAGCTAGAAAAGAATGTATGTTCTGCTGTTGTTGGATAAGTTCTTCCATACATGACAAACAGACCCAGCTGACTAATGGTGCTATTGAGTTCAACCATGTCCTTACTTATTTTTCTGCCTGCTGGATCTGTCCATTTCAGATAGAGAGCATCAAAGTCTCCAACTATAACGGAGGTTCCTCTCTTTCTCCTTGCAGGTCTATCGGGTCTTGCCGTATGCATTTTGATGCTTTCTTGTCAGGTGCATACATGTTAAGGATTGTTATGGCTCCTTATTTTACCATAATGTAATATCTCTCTTGCTAGTGAATTCCCATGCGCTGAAGTTTGCTTTGTCCGAAAGTAATGTAGCCATTATAGCTTTGGATTAGTGTTAGCATGGCATATCTTTCTCCATTTCTTCACTTTTAATCTTTGTGTGTCTTTGTATCCTAAGCATGTCTCTAGTAAACAACACATGGTTTGGCATTTTTATCCACTCTGAAAGTCTCTTGTCTTTTAGGTCATTCACTTTCAGGGGTGGGGAACAGTGATGTGAATTGAGCCCAGGGTTTCACACAAGATAGCCAGGCACTCTACCACTGAGCTACAACCCCAGCCTACAGCATTCACACTAAAAATGATCATAGATATACTTGTAGTAATAGGTACCATATTTGTAACTTTTCTATTCATTTGTCCTTGTTCTTGTTTCCTTTTCTGTCTTCCACTCTTTTTTTTTTTTCACTTCTCTGGTTTTTAATGAGCATTTTATATCATCCTATTCTTTAAATAAAATTTTTAGACTTTGTCATGGAGTTTGTAATACACATTTACAACAAATCCAAGCTCATGTTCAAATGTCACTGTATTCCTTCACCAGTGGTGCAGGTTCCTTGTAATAGAGTATTCTCAATTCCTCCCTCCTCTATAACATTTCTGTTATTCATCTCACTTACCCATAGCTACAGTCGCCCAATACATATTGCTATTACTACTTTGAGCAGAAGTTATCTTTTAGGTCCAGTAGGAATAAGAAGAGATGTATCCTGCTGTACCTCCAGGTGTCCTTCTTCAACATTCGGCTTTCTCTGTGTGGAGCAAAGTACAGGTCTCTGCCACTCTCCTTATTGTAGCACTTCCCACAGGCTGGTCTACTAGTGACACATTCCCTTAAGTTCTATTTGTCTGATAAAGTCTTTATTTTTCCTTAGTTTCTGAAGGGCAATTTTGTTGATTATGGAATTCTAGGTTGATATTTTTGCTTTTAACACTTCAACTATTTCACACCATTCTCTTCTTGTGAGGCTTCTGAAGATAAGGCCAGTACAATTCTTATCCTGTCCCATCACAGTGAAGGCAATTCCACTCTCCCCACTACCTACCCACGCTGTCTTCTTTTGAGATTTTCTCTGCCTGTGATTTTCTGCAGTTTGAATGCAATGTGCCTAGGTGCAGACTTTTTGGTATTTGTCCTACTTGTTGCTGATGTTCTTGGAGCTTTCTGTGTCTGTAGCTTGAGTTCTCTTGCCAATTTTGGAATGTTACCAATCATCACTGTACCAAGGGCTTCTTCTTTCTGTCTTCTCCTGATGCCTCATTTCTGTCCTCTACATTTCCTTTTGATTCTGAGATTGCTGTGCTCAGGTTTCCATCTGCTCTTGCATGCTACCTACTTTTTTTGCATTAGGAGCCCTCAGCATGTTAGCCATAGTTATTTAAATGCTAAGTCTGGTCACTCCAATCTCTTCATACCTGTGCCTGGGTCAGAGGCTTGGTTTGTCCTTAGGTTTGTTTTTCATATTCTAGCATGCCTTGTGATTCCCTTGCTGTTGAAAGCAGAATATCAACCAGGGGTCGGTAAAAGAAACTGAGGTGGACAGGCCTTTAGTGTGGGGTTTGTGTTCCTCTGGCTGTGCCTGGACAATGTCTGTATATTGTGGCTGTAGATGTCAGATATTAAAATTTCCTCTACTGTCCTTTTCTCGTCTCCTCTGCTGTCAGTGGACTTCCTATGAGACAGTCTTCCAGCAAGCTTGTGCCCCTGGGCCGTGAACTCCATCATCCTCATTTCCTACCAATAAGGCAGGAAGGCCGGAGAGGCTGGGGTTGGTCAAGCATCTACCTTTCTTGGCTATGTGGGCTGTGATAAGCCCCCAGGAGGTTGGGCTTAGGGACACCATTTCCTTGAGGGAAGGCCTTGTAAACAAGAAGAGAGTGCCTAACCCTGACCATGAGAATGAAGTGGGGCTCCGAGAGGTAAATTCACAAGTGTGTGTCCCAGGAGTTTTCTCTTCTGAGCTAGTCCACACCATCTGCAGCATTTAGTCAGTTTCCACATTGTGGGCTCCAGGGGCATCCCTGCCCTGGGGAGCATGACTCTGTGCCCACCCATCCATTCAGGTTGCAGTTTGCCCTGCTGGATCTAAAGGGCTGTCTTCTGTGACAATGGAGCTAGGCCTTCCAAACTCTTCACATTAGACCAGAAACTGGAAGTCCCCTCTACTCTCACCTGTACCTCTGTGCACTCCTGAACTTTCTAGCTAGGCTCTTATCTTCAAATTCTGGCTAGTGCTTTTTAAGTTCACACACACATTTCACCAAGTCTGGACTGCCTGCTACACTTTCCATTCAAGCCAGAAGAGCAAGGGCAGTGAAGAGCAGGAGCAAGCATGGCCACCCCAACCTAAGACCCCCCCCCAAGTCACACACCTGTGTGGAGGGTCAGCCACAGCACCTGCCAGCCTAGGCCACTACAAGTGTTTGCAGAACAAACATGCAGAAACAAACAGGTGCTCCACATACATCCACTCCCACGCTGCTTCTGCACTACTGACAAGGTGGAGGCCCTAGGTAAAGTTTTGCTGGGGTTAAATGTGTATCTAACCTGCAGTTTTGAATAAACTATGGATTAGCCAGATACTTTATAACTTATTTCATGTTAGTAAAATATGTATGTACAGAGTCTCTTAAAAAGAAGAAAGTTCTATGGAACCTTAAGCTTGACGTTCAAGTTTCTTAGAAGCAATTCCTTCCCCTGCTCCAGCTTTACCTGTACCTGAACATTGAGGACATGGTATGCTGCTACCCAGTGTCTATAGAGCTGTGGGAAAGCAGCCCTGGCCATCTCATTCTGGCCACATTCTTTGATGGGAATCCCAGCTACTGGTATGTAAAGAATCCAAAGAACCTACAGGGAATGGGGCAGTGAAAAGTCCCTGCCAGCCAGGACCCTGCTCTCCACAGTGATGGCATCATTGCTTGAACAAGGTAGAGAAGACAGCTCCCCAGTTTTCTAAGAGGTGATTTGTCTCCCTAGTGAGCAAAATGATGCATCAGAACCATGTGACATCCTTAGTTACCTTCCACAGCTATCACACCTTTTAAGACGTTTCGAAGTGATGTGATCTGGCTCCAGACAGGCATGAGCTAGGGTGGTTCATGTGCAACAGGAAAGTTGGTATTGAATGGACAGTAAACACTCAGAGGTCCCATAGAGTGGATGGGGCTCATGCAGAAATCCCTCCCACATGGGTAGCAGGTACCTTTAAGACCCAAAGTGAATGGACGGGAGCGACAGGTTACCCCTGTGGGAGCATCTCAGACAAGGGTCATCATTTTTCACAGCCACAAACATGTGCTCTTATCCACTTTTGTTTTTGCAATAGCAATTCTTTCATTTTGTTTCATCTCCTCACATTAAAGGAACACGACAGAAGACTCTTTCTCCTCTAACTTCTATGAGAAAGCAGAGGCCCTGGTGTCGGGCAGGAGCTGTTCAGAGGCTCAGCACATGGTGAAGAATGGAAGGATTAGGCCAGGGCTACCAAGGAGACCAGTCTTCTAGGAGGCCCATGGTTAGTGACTGGTTAAACCCAGAAACAGAGGCCCTCCCAGGAAGACCAGGGGTCGGGAGGAAGATGACCCTGAGAGGCCAAGCTGGGGACACAGGCAGTAAGGAGATGGCAGAGTCTTACCTTTAAAGTCAAACTGGTAGATGTTTTTTAAGGATTCGTGAAGAAAATAAAAGCTTCCCAGTGCCTGAAAGAGCAAAAAGAGAAACTGCATCAGAGGCAGTGAGGGAGCAACTCTACTCCCAGTGAGATTCTGAGCAACTACAAAGTGGATCTTGGAATTAAGGCAGAAGTCAACCAGCTGTAACATGTGCAGTCGTTGAGAGAGAGGCTGGGCCTGCCCATACACAACGCCACCAAGCATGGGTGAGAAGTAAATGGGGAGTTCTGGACAAGTGAGCAAGCAAGCATATACTGGGCTTCCCTGGAGCTCCAGCCCTCAGCTCTGTCCCTGGCCAGGTTGGCCATCCTGGCCCATAGCATGAACCCCAGTGCCTGCCTCACTACATACTGGCTGTTTCTCTGCCTGCCCCACTTCCCTCCCACCTCCTCAGCCTTCGAGACTGAGTTACAACCCTGCATCCAGAAGCCACAAGGCTGCCCCTTCTGTGGATTAGCTGAGCAACTGGTCACGGGCATCTGTTGGATGTCAAATGCCATTCTGGGCAGAGAGTCCAGCAGGGGCAGGGCTAGGGCCAGGGCTGGCCACAAAGCTGAGGGCATGACACACTGTACAAGTTAACACTGCTGGTATGAAATTCAAAATTTAACGTGCTACATACACATAGTGTATGTTTATGTACACATATTTATGTGTGTTTTTGTGCTTACTACTTTTTCCTTTTGCTAAATCTGGCAACCATAGGGCCCTGGGGAGGCTGTAGTCCAGGACTGCAGTAGTGGCTATAAAACTATGCATTTGTCAAAACTCAATGCACTGCACCCTGAAAGGGTGGCATTTACCATGCTCTTATAATCCTCACTTAACAGACAAGCCCTACTCTCATGGGACTCACCCAGTAGAGAAGACAAGAAGCCCATGCAGGCCTGGTCAGTGAAACAGGGAAGGTGGATGCTGGGCAGAGATACTGAGGGAAGCCCAGCCCTGAGCAGGTTATACAAGGCCTCACCAGAAGGGAAAGACTTGGTTCTAACCCTGACTTTTTATTTTGAGAAGTGTCAGATCTTCAGAAAACTAAACGTGCAGGACAAGGACACCATGCAGCCCATGCACGCTCCTACACGCTCATGTTCCACTTTATTTCTGGTATAGCATGGTCCCATTACACTTTACCCCCAACTGCATGGCTCTCTGGGCAAGAATGCTCTCCTCCCTATAGAACTCCTGTCAAACCTAGGAATCAACTGTGGTACCGAAATGCCACCTGACACAGGTCCGCAACTCCTCACTGACCCACAGTAGACCCCTGGCCCCTTCCCAGAATCTACTCAGCTAAGTCCATGTGTCACATTGCTTAGGAGACCCACACTCCCCTTCCCAAATTCAACTCATTTGTGTCCATGTTTTAAAATAAGTATTTACTCACATAGACCAAGCTGGTTTACTACCCTGTAGAATTAGATGGCAAATAAACTCATTTCAATAATTACAGAGTAAAGTACTAGAATCAGATGACACCTGCCTTGTTGGCCACACATGGACAGGTCTGGTCCACCCTGCCCGCTTGCACTCCTGCAGACCCTGGGGATAGCAAACCAGGAGTCAAAGGCCACACCCCACTCAAAATGCACATATTCCTCTTAGGGCATCACCAACACAGTCAGCAAGAATAAGGTTTGCTCTTCAGTGGAATCCTGCTTGGTCTTAAATCTTCTTTTCTGGCTTACAGACTCTAGAAAAACTCGGATTCTCAATGCAGGAGACCCAACCCAGCCTTGCATTCAGGGTGGCCAGTTTCTGGGCTCAGTGTACACTGTACCTCCAGGGGGCTGAGCCTTGTTCCCCTGCTCTGAGTTTGTGTGGTCCTTTCTGGCTACCTCCTATGGGGCAGAGAAGGACTCTGTCCTTTTCTTTCTTCTTCACACCTTCTCGTGCCCTGCACTGTCCCCAGATCTCACACCCCAGCTTCCACTCTCTCACCTAGCTCACCTCTGCACTGTCAAGCCCTGTTCAGTCTCCACTGTGAGTCCCATGGGGTACCCTCTCTCCACCTAATCCCGCCTGGTCCTCTGCTCACCATGTGCATAGCTGCCTCTGGAAGAGTCCAGGACTTCCTGCTGGCCCTTGCCTTCCCTTATCCTCCATCCACCCAGTGGCAGCCAGACTCTGCACCATGTCTGTGATCTACCAGGGACTTCTAACGCACAGGAGTCTGCGTCCCTCCCCCTCTGGTTGCATGCATGGACTCAACAAGATGCCTGGATTATGGTCAGGAGACACCTCATCACAAAATCATGTCTAACACTAACAGCTGGCACCTACCATTCAACAGGACACACTCTAAGGAACAACCAATCAAACAAGAGGACCTTTTCAGCCATGGAAGCAGTCCGTGTGCCCTGGACACAGCGCCTGACTCCTTGGCTGTCATACAGTATCTGTTGGCAATAGCCGAGGAGCAAGGGCATGTTCTGGCTCCAGCTGGGTAGAATGAGGGCAGAGGTGAGCACCTGTGTATGCACACATGTCCACATACACACACGTGCACATGCAAGAGTGCCTGATGAAGGTAAGAGGGCTAAGAAGCCATGGGCACCTGCCTGAACCTGTAGCCCTGCATCCTCAAACACAAGGCTTATGGGCTAGCAGACCTACAACAGAATCATCAGCCTGGGGGACTAGGACATCAAAGAAGGCCCAGGAGAGGTGCAGTGCAAGCTGCCCACCTGTGGACATGGGACCCGTTGCTCTACAAGCACCTTTTCTCCTCACAGGTGAGGCCGGGATGCAGTGGTGGGGTCTCTGTCCCCACAGAAAAGCTGTGGGCCCACCTCAGGGTACTTGTCTTTGACCTTCAGTGCTTCAATGTCCCTGGCTAGGTTGGCTCACCTTGGACATCCACAGTGGCTCTGGCATGGTTTGGTGCCCTTGTCTGTTCCACCATCTCTCAGATGGATATAAGCTACCTTCACAACAGATCCTGGGGCCAGCCAGCTTTTGGCTAGCTTTCTTCACCAAAATAGAACTAAGGTCACCTCAGTAGGAGGGACCACAGGTCACACGTTTGGAGCAACTGAGCTTCCTGCATCAGCCAGGAAGAAAACAGCAGGACTAAAACCAGAATGGATCCATCTGCTCCACCACAGCGGTCCTGCAGAGGACGCCGTCCATCTACCTCAAGCAGAAAAGAAACTGAAAAGTGTAATGAAAGCCACTGCAGACATTTAAACATCGCCTCGCTGTGTATGATAAGGCTAACATAATATTATGACGTTTATGATAAATAAATGGAAAATAAATTGCACTGCAAACACAGAAAGCGTAATTCACAGAGTCAGAAAATCCATAATTAGCTCTAATGAATATTTAAAGTCAAAGTTCAACCCAACTTTCCAGAGTTCTCCCCACTCTGTCAATACGGTCAGGGCGCCATCCATCACAGGACACAAACGTCTGCCTGGTGGTGTGCAAAGCCTGCCAGCAGGAAGTTCCTGGATCATCAGGCCCCTGACCACAATGTATATGCACAGAATGTCTGTCACATCTGGGAATATTGACTCCTGCCTTTTTCGATAAAAACAATTAAAATACTTTTTACATATTTATAAACCTGACTGTCACAGTGCTTATTAATTCTCCATTAGTGAACAGCCGTTAGCCACTGCACGTGGTATATCTGCTACCCTACAGGCTCAGGGCAGGAACCCTTGATGCCCCAAAGACAGGCACAAGAAAGCCCACCAGCCCTGAGCAGCAGCTGATGTCACCCCCGCCATGGTCCAGTCTCTCTGCTAACTGAGCATATGGCAGGGCTGAGAGACCCAGTCTTCAAAGACCAGCCGGGCCTTAGGGGCAGGAGTTTGGGCCTGTCAACTAACCTAGCATGTCAAGGGCAGACCCACCTATCAGGCACTCAGCAGCAACATGGGGCTGGTAGAAATGAGGGGTCTGCAATTCTGCAGAGCATGTTCTGACCTCAGCAGGAGTCCAGCAATGTGATGTACAGCCACACAATGTCACTCCATTTGTCTCCAGGAATTGAATCTGGTGGCAGCAGCCCACCTCGTAAACACTAAAAATCAGAACAATGTGGTAGACCACTGTCCAAGCAGAAAAGTTCATGTCCACAAACACTGTGCCTGTGAGTGCTGGCCCACTCCCTGTCACAATTGCCCACACACAGGCTCTGGGGGTGTCTTGGGTCAGGGAAGGTGCCAACAAGGAAGGGACACAAAGCTATTAATCAGAAACACCCCCAGCACTTTGTACTCACAAACAAGCCAGATGGCTGGTAATCTATCATTTCCACTTTGAAGTCAGCAGCAAAGCACACATCATTAACCTGGGCCTTCTGCACAAGCTTGCTTTTCCAGGAAACAGCTAATTCCTAAGCTCAAGCTACATGTCTTAGCCATAAAGAACACCCAGGACACCACCTTCCTCACAGACACTAGGAAAGAGGAAGCCACATGAGTGCCTGCTGGTGTGACACCCCAGTGGAAACAGCCCCTTCGCCTGCAGCCAGTGTCCCTGTGAAAGTTTTCACAGCTTCCATTGCACTGCTGGCAGGACTACAGCAAGAGCCCCCAAAGCCCCAGAAGGTCCCCATGTGACAGAATTGGGCAATTCAGATCTCATTCTGAGACTGCAGGGCATACACTGTTTCTGTGGATAAAGGGTTTTCAACTTGTTAGCTTTTTAATGAAATAAACAAACCTATGGGCAGGAAAGAAACTGTAAACGGTAGCGCTGATAAGTAATCCTCAGTGTGGAAACAAAGGAGAGAAGTCAGTTGGTGTGAATTAGAGGCAGAAGACCACTGAATGAATCTGTGGGATGACCTCCTCTCACCTCACTCGCTCCTTCCCAGTCTGAGCAGACACACCCTCCCCCAAAGGAAGGAAGTGACCTCACTCATGGTGACAACCGTGCTACCCCGGTCCTACATTCTTTCAGGGTCAGCAGCACCCGCCTCTGTTCCTTGAGAAGAGTTCAGGTCAGCAGAGAGCCCAGCATGATGCCACCCGTTGCCCTGTGTACACAAGTACTGGCCTGAACTCAGCCAC